CTGCAGCTGGCTGCATCCCAAGTCAAGTGGTGGGGCCGCCTCCTTGTGCTTATCCCCTTCCTACTCCCTCACATATGTCATTAAGCTCTAATAAATCACTAATGACAAAATTCCACAGTAAACTAGAAGGAGGATCATCAGTGGACAAGGGTTTTCAAGAATTTTGAAGAAGAAATGCAGCAGATGGTGGAACAATGATGGACAAGTGTAGAGGGGAAGCCACGGCCTAGAACAAAAATACAGCAAGGATGCTAGAGCTGGTCAGGAACAGCTCTGCCAGGCAGAACCCAGCAGAGGTTCTGGATCTAAAATATAGGTACCACAGAAAGCAGAGTGACAAATGGTGCAAAAACTGGGGATTGCTAAAAGAATCACCAACAGTGGACCCCACCTTCCCCACACTCCAGCCATTATCTAGCAGAAGGTCTTAGAGCCAAGCCAGAAAAGGGGGACTCATCCTTAAAGACACTGACCCTTGTGAAAACACACCTAGTAGTAGAATGAAAAGTCCTTTAAGCTTTTCTTGATGCTATAATTATACCTCAATTGGAGGACAAACTAAAGATGGCTTCCTGATCACCAAAACAAGAGTGATGTGCCAGGGTCTTCACCCACACAGGTGGCCCCACTGTAAGGAAACCAAAGAATGAGACCCAGCCTGGCCACCAATCCTAACATGGGGGCTGCCCTGTGCACAGCACAGGCAGGGAGACACCATCGCAGGGAGTGGGACCTCATCCCAGATGCCACCCCCTGGCACCATGTCCCAAACCAGCAGACCATGTCCCACCAGCCCAGAGCTTCTGTGCCAACTAATCCCACTATCTCCAGCCCATCAGCCTCACTTGGAAACTCTGCTTCCCTCTGACAGGGCAGTCTGTCACTTTGGGGCTTTCAAACCCCTTATCTGTTTTCTTCTCCAAGAACCTCATCCACAGAGCATATGGATTCTGAACTAGAACAGGTTCCCTGATTAGACACAAGACTTTTCCCTTTGTGTCCTGTTTTTTATCTCTAATAATTTTCCTTTATAACATGCCTAAAGTCTTGAGAAACTTGGGCTGTGGTAGGTGACTAAGCCCCCACTTCATTCTCACAAATAAAAAATATGACATAAATAATATGTGCACATTTTCAAAAAAAGAGAGTTTGTTTAAAGCCTTTTGTCATCACAGCTTATGGAACAGGATCATATCAGGTGTTAGAGCATTTTAACAGAGCAGACCCCTTTTCCAACCAACTGTTATGTGGAAGCTCAATACACAGAATTGATTAGCAAGCTGCTGCTATGACAGAACAGGGGAAGGGAACCAAAGCCCCATCTCCTCTGCCCATCTTTTCTTTCCCTCCCTGTTGGGAACCGCCCTGCCTGGTTTCAGAAGCTGTAACCCCACCAAGGCTAAGGCTGAGGGAGCGACCTTGGACCGTAAGACACTAAAGAGAAAAAAGCTTATCTCCCTGGCAGGAGCACTGCTTCTGCTCCTTTTATTTCATGCATAACTGGCCCCCAATGCTTGGTCAGTTAGCCAATGACGGGTAAGATTCCCCTAGGGGGGAACCATCTAAGACAAGCATGATCACGTGGGAGGCCCCCAGGGAAGGATTTGGGGGGCTACAGCAAAAGGGGGTGATGGACCCTTGCCCCTCGGCTTTGACAAAGCCTGAGTCCTCATTCTGTCTGCGAGAAGTCTCCTAATCTCTTAGCTGCTTTACTTCCCCTGCCTATCTTAAGCCTAAGACAATGCCTTAAGCTTGAAACAATGACAGAGAGTGGTATAGCCCTGTGCTGGAAAGGGCGGGTTCCCCACAATCAGGCCTAAGAAAGAATATGTAAAATCCTGTGAAATATGATTTGTTTAGAATGCTCTCAATTAAATGATAAGGGTCCAAGCAAGAAGTAAGTTTGTTCCTCAAAGTTTTACAGCTCTTTAGCTATCTGACCCTGACTCAAAATAGGCCCTCAGAGTTCTTTGTTGTCTATTGTTTGATCCTTACTGCCTGACAATGATTAATGAGCTTTACCTGTATTCCTGTGCAAACGAACCCAATAAAAGCCCATCGAGGAAAAGGCTCTTGGCCCTTCTCCTTTGAGAGATCAGTCACCTTTCCTCCCCAAGCGGATCATGCCTTGGTAGACTTATTCTCATGAATGGTGGGCAGAGCCCCCCGACACACACCTTCCCTTAACCTAAGTACCTCCTAAAATGCCATTTCCAGGCTGGGCAGTTATCAGCCCCAACTCAGAACTAAAAACTTAACTGTGTGAAAAAATGGTAAATATGTTACTTTGTAAAATACATAAAATATAAAATACAAGCAGCTATCCTTACTTATATGCTTGTAAATACTTACCAATAAAATCATACGTAGATTCAACAAGGCAGAACTTAGCAGCCATCTTCATCATCATCACCACCATCATCCTACATTTAATGAGAGTTAACTATGAGCCAGTGGTAAGTGATTGACATATATTCTATCATTCAATCCCAACAACAAAATCATGTAGCCAGTATTGCTAGTGTCCGTATGCTAAAGAATTTGACCAAGGTCTCTTAGCAAAGGCTGAGATACAAGCCCACGTCTGCCGGACAGTCTCCCTATTTGCTCTCAGACACTGTGTTCCACTAGTCCCCATAATAGCTACTTGTGTCCTTTTTTTATATATTTTCTTCATTTTTTACTTGTGTTAATCACTTTTATTATAATAAAGATATTTTAATTTGAGACCAAAACAGTACAGATAGTGGGGGGAGAGCTGGCTCCTGAAGCCTGAGAGTGGGAAGGGCAGGGATGCCCTGGAGAGCTCATCTAGCCTGGGGTTGCCATGGAGGTGACCTTACATGTCACAAAGGAAGGGCTCACAGGATACTCCTCACCCTGAGAGGGCTCAGTGCTCCTTAATCAGGAAGGTTCTCCATCTTTCTTCTTCTTCTTCCCTTTCTGCTCATCAGAAACATTAGAAAAGCTTACTAGTCTTGATATAAACAAGTATTGTCAACAACAAAAAAACTTTTTAAGTATTATCATATAAACATTTTGAAAAGAAGGGAGAGAGTATGGGAAGTGTAACAGAACCAAAATAGACTGTGACTAAAATCAATGAGTCAACACACAGCAGTACAGGTACATTATTTGGGAATATGAAAGGAAACATTAGCAGAAACAGAACAAATTAAAATTGATCTCTGGGGAAGTGATAATGGGGGTGGCCAAGGGCCTGGGGCATAAGAGATTGCTGAATTTTTTTTTAAGTATTTTGGCACATTTGGCTTTTCAAGTGCAAATATTTCTTTGATTTGTAAAAAATGATGAAACAAAACCTACCCTCCTTGGTGATCTCTGTTAGCTTAACAGACTCCAGGAAGGGATTCAGACAAAGGGAATGTGGTTTGATGTGGCTTGTGTCACCTGGTCTCTGAGACACAGCAGACAAAGGTGTCCGCTGTTGTGGGAAAGGCACTGGATCTTGAATCAGAAGACCTAGGTTCCTATCTTGGCCTTGTTGTTCCAAACTCTGTGGCCTTGACCATTAAGTGTAATCTCCCTGAGCCTCTCTACCCCATAAGGGCAGGTATCCAGACCCTGTCTAACCAAAAAGAGGATTAAGTGATATAAATCCCAACCCAATGATGCAAACTAACCTCATGGTGAGACTAAAAGGGGTAGGGACCTAAGCAGTCTGGGCCACATGGGAAGAGCTGGGAAGCCTGAGGCCTGGCTAAGGGATGCAGGTTTCTCACCCATGAATGAGGCATTGAACCTAAGCTCAAATCTCTGGACTTGAGCTGAAATTTTCTTTTCACTGCATTGTGCTTCCAAGTTCTCTGAGAACATGGAACATATTTTAAGTTCTATGGACTCGAGAGGTAGTATGCCAGTCTGCATCCACCTGTGAGAGACTTACCCAGATCATGACCCAGGCATTGGGTCCTCTTGAACAAAGTCCCTCTTCAATTTTTCTCAACTTAAAATAATCTCCAAATTGCTTAGCTTTGGAATCAAATTTGGCAAAACCTTAGACCCAAAAGAGAAATCTCCCATCCTTTCTCCAGGGCAGGGTCCAGCTGACCACTAACTCAAGCTTTGTCACAGGTCTGGCCAGAGTTACCATTTTAGGACAAGAAGGTCCAGCCTTCCCAGGAACTAGCCCAGCATGGGGCCATTCTTCCCAGGCTCCGAGTGTTTAGAACTCAAAGCCCAGGGGCTGGCTGTTGAATACGTGGTTGTCAGGGTCCCTTTGTCCCCCTGTTTCCCCTGGAATCACAACCTACACTGGTGTAGAGGTGGGAGTGGTCTGGCAGGTCCATGCACCTGTGGGACTGCTATCTCCCGTAATCAGAGGGACCCAGGCACCATCAGACAGCACTATTCCTGCTAGTAGGTCACAATGTGAAGAAGTTGAAAGACACCCTGTGCAGCTGCCTGAGAAAGAAAGAACCTGAAACAAGACTCCAGACTGGACACAGGGCACTGCCACCAGGACTGGAACACAATGGGACTGGGGTGGGCAGCGGGGGGCGGGGGGCTTGAACCTGAAATCTCTCCAAAGGTCCCAGGGAACACAGCCTGCTCTATGCACAGACAGCGCATGGGGAGTGAGTGCATAGACCCGCACATTCACTCCCTCCCAAAATAAATTTTATTTTTTGGTGCTTCATCTTTGGCAAGGGTTAATAATAATGTGAATTCATACAATGATTAAACAAATAACATACATCTGGTTCAGAGAAAACCTCATAGAGACCAGCTTTGATTCCATGAGCACAAGGTAAGGGACCCAAAAGGGGAAGAGAGCAGAGGGCAGGATAAGGAGTAATTAGCCAGTGACTAAATGTCATTTTCCTTGAGTCAAGTGATTCTCATTTTATTTAAGTGTCCTGGGAATGATGATGAAGTTATTTTTTCCCTATTTGGGGAATTCTTTTCTGTCTAATGAGTAATTTTCAATCATCTGCTTTTTAAAGTATTGTGCAATTTCTAAATAATTTTTTCAAAAATCAGGCCGACACTGCCAACTCCTGCTGTCTGGGGTTTTCCGAATCACCTGCAGAAAGAGGGCTGTTCCGCCGAGAGCATGTCTGGGAAATCGGCCTGTATATCCTATGCCCCGAAGCATCTGTTTCTTCAAAGATGTAGCCAGGAGGCTCAGGGTATGAAGCCAGGCACCTTCCCATTTCCTTGGGAGTAAAGCTGATGGTGTATGTCGTCTGGCCCTCCATAGGGATACTTCCTCTGGGACCAGACCAGGAGGGCTTATAGCTTTTGGTATTAATGGGTGGGTGGGGTACATAGTGGGCCCTAGTGGTGGTCAGGCAGTCCAAGGGCTCAGTGGGACGGTTCAGCTGGGGAACGGGCTTGACTGGCTCTGTGCGCATGCTGGCCCACTGCTTGTAATCATCCTTGGTGGTGGTGGAGCTTTCGAAGCGACCACCCTTCTTGACACAAAGCACTGGTCGGCAGGACTGAGCTGGAGCACCCTTAGGGTACGTGTAATGGGACTGCACTGTTGTTAGAAGGTCCATCTTTTCTTCAGGAGGGGCATAGTGGGTGGGAGGTTTGCAGAACACCTGGGGCGTCGGCCAAGCTTGGAACTTATCTTGAAACTCCGTGGTGTTAGAGAAAGGTGTGTCTAGCCCACAGGACCTGGCTGGAGGTTTCAAGCTCTTGGCTGGCTCCCCCTTCAGGCCCCAGTAGGACTGTTTGTGAGTGGTGAGGCTCTCAAAGGGTATTTCACAGGCTCTAAACTTCTCCGCCTCGTGCACAAAGCGCTTCTCCATAGGGTGGGCCACGTAGTTCATTTTGTAGTTAGTCAGATCCTCCAGGGGGATGTTACAGACCTTGGGCATGACTGGAGGCTTACAGCTCATGGTGCTCACAAGGCCCTTCACAGAGTAATCATCCTGGTGTGTGGTTCTACTATCAAACCTAGTTGATTCTGGCCAGTAGTTGTGTTCTGGACGAAGTAGCTCTCGTCTTGGTTGGTTCCAGGGTAAATAATCAGCTGAAAACAAACAGAAGTGGTATTTACTCCCAAATCAATTTACTGAACCTGCATGTATTCCAAGGAACCTTCAAAGACCTAAGCCAGTCTCCAGTGAGATGTTCCTTGGACAAAGGAAAAACAGAGTGGATCCCTGCCATCACTTTAATAAGGTCTTGGTGTTTCAGCTTTATGGTACCTGTGAGTTACTGCGCAAAAGAGAAAAATTTATAGGAATCTTATCACACCCTACAATGCTGCACATGGGATTTAAGAGGGTCCACAGCCATGGTAAGATCCAGGGACCCAGTTCCAGTAGGGTTGTCCCACCACTGACTTAGCCTTATCCAAGAACAGTTCCATTCCTCTGTGGGGAAGGTGCCCTCTGAATCAACACAGAGTGACTGGAAGATGCCTGTGCTACAGTGAGAGAGGGGATTCACAATCCACCACTAATGGGCTGCCAGCCAGACCAACCCTGATGTCCCTGGGAAGACTGCTATTGTGTCCGTATAACCCACACATCTAATCCACATAAATCAAATAGACTGCTCCAGGGGAATAAGGGCATTTTATTGGCTGGTGACAGAATAATAGCAGTTGCCTTTTGTATTGACTTTATTATGTGATAGGCAGTATTCTAAATGCTTTCAGTGGTAATTCTTTTAACCTTCAGACAGCCCTAAGGATGTGGGTACCATCAATATGCCCATTTTACAGAAAAAGAGGCACAGAAAGAGTAGGGAACTTATGTAAGGTCACATGGCTAGAAGTAAACAGGTAAGGAATACTATGTGCCAAACAAATATACTCAGGGATTTTCAAACACAGTTTTGTTTCATCTTTACAATAACCCTTTATAATGGGTATGACTGTCTCCATTGCACAGATTACAAAAAGCAAGGCTCAAAGAGACTAAGATACTTGACCACAGGTCACATGGCTGGTGAGTTAAAAGTTGGAGTTTAAATCATATAGTTGATTGAAAAGCCATGCTTTTCTGACAGCCTGTGCCACAGTTAGCACCATTACATTTCTAAATAGAGTGAGGTTTAAGGAAAGAAAAATAAAGACTGCTAATGAATAATCAGAGATTTTCAGGACAAGAAGAATGTCAAAATGTTTAAAAAATGAAAAGGATTGGCCAGCTGTATTTAGGGGATGTTTGTCTAAAAGGAATTTCTGCTGTGGGACTGCTGTCATTGTTTCCATAATACTTGGTTCAAATCCAAGTTCTACATTGTCTCCATTGAGCCCATCAATGTCAATTTCCAGATCTAAAGTAGCCAATACTAGATTTCTGGTCAAGATGGTGACATACGTAAACACTGTGTTTGCGTCCTCCCACAACCAATCAAAATTACAACTAAATCATAGAACACCCATCATTGAGATCCACCTGAAGACTAGCTGAACAGATGTTCTATAACTCAGAATATAAAGAAGAAGACATGATAAGACTGGTAGGAGGGGCAAAGACACAGAACAGACAGGTTCCATAGCCACAGTGTGGCAATTAAGAAAGGGCAGAAATATCTCAGCTTCACAGGTCTTCCCCTGAGGAGTGAGGGATCTTAACCCCATGCTGGGCTCCCCAACCCAGGGATCCAGTGCCAGAGAGAGGAGTCCCTATAACATCTGGCTTTAAAAATCAGCAGGGATTGTATCCAAGTGAGACATAGGTTGCAGGAGTCCCAGCTATTCCTCTTTAGGGCTGAGCACAGATTCACAGCTTACAAATTCATACACTCTGGTCTCCAGCACAGGATAAGCAGCTAAAATTATGCCAGGGACATATGAAGAGGAACTGAATTGCCTAACTTCAGAGTGAGAAAGGGAGGAGCAAGAGACAGGACAGCTGTCTCTGGGGACAGAAGTGTGAAGGTACCAGTGTTCCTTTGTTGGTTACTCCTCCCATCTAGCCAGCTGGTGCAGGAGGACACCAAATCTGAGCTGTCCATAACTGGGCTATCAACATTCACCCCACCCTAGTGATTCCCTGAAACCCTGCCCCACCCAACTTGCGTGCCCAATTAGACCTTTTGAAGTGGCTGCTTCACATAAGTGGCCTGGATCAGCTCTTGTTTTGAACTTTTCTAAAATTTCTCGAAGACCCACAAACCCAAAACAAGCAGCAGCTGGCCTCAGCATGCCCTGTACCACTTACAAAATGGTCCAAACCCAGCATAAGCAGTAGCCAGTCTCAACTTGCATTGTAACTTCCATCAGGTGGTCCCAAGCCTGGCATATGGTGAGGCTGGTGTTGGCTTGGAACACAGCATCAAGTAAGGGGCCAAAAGTCCAGCACAAGTAGCAGCTGACCTCAGCTCATATCATGATACCCACCAAGGGTCCCGAGCCCAACAATAATGGCAGCAGGCCTCAGTTCACAGCATAGCTTCTCACAAGTGCCTATAAGCCCATAAAAAGCAGCAACCAACCACAGACCACTTTGTAGTTCCCACTAGGCAGCACAAGCAGCAGCTATAGTTGACATACCCCAGAGTCCCTCCCAAGAGGCTATAGAACCAACACACCCAGTGACCAGGCTCAGACCAAATCAGAACACCACCCAGTAAGCTCCACAAATGACACACTTGAAGGGCAGACTAGCCTGGCACCAAAGCCCTGATGAAGTGACACCCACTCTATGAGATCAGCCTCTGTACAACAGCTCATCTGCTATATTCATGGTCAGCCCTCACAGCCATTCAGCCTGAGAACAATCCCACCCACTGATGTGCCAAAAGCAATCAAGGCTCAACCACACCAGGAGGGTATACACAACCCACATGGAAAACGTCCTGGAGCATCAGACTCAGGCAAACAGGGAGACTGCACCACTGAGCCAATAGGACACCAACTATATCTGTCAAGGCCACTCTGTCAACTCCAGGAGATGTAGCAGCTCTGCCTAATACCGTGTTGGACAAAAAGTCTGTTTAGTTTTTTTTCTATAAAATAAAGCACCTATTTTTTTATTTTCAACAATAACTTTACTCATTTTGATATTTTGAGTATGTTGGCTATTTCCTGCTATTGGCTTCTAGTGGGTAGAGGCCAGGGGTGCTGCTAAACATCTTCCAATGCATAAGAACGCCCCACAGCAAAGAATTATCTGTCCAAAATGTCAATAGTACCAAGAAACTTCACATACCACTTCTGACACATTCAATCAGTCACAGCACTTTCTCCACACACTGTACAAATCTATTTCTGTGTGTATTTCAGTTACATTTTTACCTTTCTTGAAATAATAAAGCATAATATGCTGAAAATGTTGCATATCTTCTTCCTTCTTCAATATTAAAATGGCTACACAAAAACTCACCAATTTTAATGTTTATTTAAATGCATACTGATATGAGAGCTGTCACATTACAATCTAACAAAATTGTTTCAAATTAATTTAAAGACAACTAAGCACTACTGAGCCATCATATGGGAACAACTAAACAGAGGGATTCAACCAAATGAGGAGACAAAGAAACATATTCCAAGTGAAAGAATAGTAAAACTCCACCAAAAAAAGAACTAAATGAACTGGAGACAAATAATCTACCAGATACAGAGTTCAAAAATACTGGTTATAAAAATGTTCAATCAACTTAAGGGAAGAATATATAATATTAACTTAGTGAGAAATTCAACAGAGGGAAGCCATAAAAAAAGAACTAGTCAGAAATGAAGAATACAAAAACTGAAATGAAAAGTACACTAGAGGGAATCAACACCAGATTATAGCAAAGGACCAAATCAGTGATCTGAAAGACAAGGTAGTGAAAAACACCAAACTGGAACAGCACTAAGAAAAAAGAATCATCATAGAAAGACATGCACTATATGATCTCACTTATATGTGGAATTTGATGAACAAAATAAACTGACAAAGAAAATAGAAACAGAGTCATGGATACATACAAACTGAGAGCTGTCAGGGTTGGAGTGGAAGACTGGATGAAAGAAGGTGAAATGATTAAGAAAAAATATTTATATAACACATAGACACAGACAAAAGGGTGTGAGGAGTAGGTGAAGGAGGGCAAAAGGTGGGGGGAATGTGGATGGTAAAAGACTTTGCTTGGGGCCGTGGGCACACAATACAGTGTACAGATGATGTTTTATTGAGCTGTACACTTAAAACCTGCATAGTTTTGTGAACAAATGTCATCCCCAATAAATTCAATTAAAAAAGAAAAAGGAATGAAAAAATGAGAATAGTGTAAGGGACATCTGAGACAATATCAAGTACACCGACATTAGTATTATAGTGTTAATAGAAGGAGATAGAGCAAGGGATTGAAAACCTATTTGAAGAAATGATAGAAAACTTCCCTAACCTGGGAAATAAAATAGACATACAAACCCAGGAAGTGCAGAGAATCCCAAATAAGATGAACCCAAAGAGGCCCACACCAAGACACATTATAATTAACATGGCAAAAGGTAAAGACAAATAGAGAATCTTAAAAGTTACTCACACATATGGGAGGTCCCATAAAAAGAAACTTTGCAGGCCAGAAGGAATTGCAAAGATGTCCAAAGTTATGAAAAACATAGACCTACAACCAAAATAACTCTATCCAGCAAGTCTATTGTTAGAATTGAAGGAGGGTGAGTTTCTCAGACAAGATAAAGTTAAGGAGTTAATCACCACTAAACCAATATTACAAGAATTATTAAAGGAGCCCCTTTAAGAAAAAATCAAAATACGTTTAAGGAAATATAGGAAAGAAAAAAAAATCTCATTGACAAAAATAATCACTTAGTAAAAGCAGTGGTTCAACAAACTATAAAGCTGGACCAAAGATTAAAATGCAAAAGTAGAAAGATCATGTGTAATTACAACAATTAAAATAAGGGGTATACACAAACACACACAAAAAAGTAAAACATGATGACAAAAACAAATGTGGAGGGGATAAGTAAAAATCATAGTGCTTTTAGAATGTATTTGAATATAAACTTAAAATAGACTGCCATAAATATAGCTTGGTACATAGGAAGCACATAGTAACCAG